ATTTCACATACAGATGTGACTCATTTCAATGCCGCAGCCACAGTGAAGCGGGTGAAATAATTGATCCAGGAGTAGCTGCAGTGCGCAACAACAACCAGCAGGTGGCACATGTGAGCAGTTGAGATGTAGCGTCCAACTGAAACTGTTTGAGAATTAGCAGTACTGTTATATTTTCTGCCGGACCTGTACAGTATACTTACTCGTTACACAGTCTTAATTTCATAAAGGACATTTATACTATGATATTTACAAAAGGGTAAGTGTCAGGTCCTCTATTATTTAGCCTAATGATCTCCCTCAACAGTGTCATGATGTAGAACTGCAAATGTATGTGTGACATATAGCCTAGGGTAATATGTGTATCCGCCCGCTAAATTGTGACATTATTTTATGCATATGATATCGATTTTGTATCTTTACAGATACGATACAGATGCCCCCCATTCAATTTAAAGCATAGCCTAACTGATTTGAGTAAAGGCACGAGAGTTGGCAGTTTAGAGTAAGACCAGCAAAATGTTTTAATTTATTCTTTCAGGTGGGTAAATGTCACCTAAGCACCTTCAGATTTTATCAGTAGTGTACCCTTAATAGATAATTTGTTTATTTGGTTTGTATTGTGCTTCGTGATATTGTTTGAGGGAACTATAACGTAAGGTAACTGCATACGAGTGGATGCAACCATCACTAATGCTAGTGTAGTTTCTCAGGGATTTAAGCTGTTATTACTTTCATTTTGACAATCGAACATGTGACAACACATTAGCTAAGGTTGTAAGGACTGTAACTGTTGCTAGCTGTGGTTGATTTTGTTAAAATATGTTGAATTGTAATTTTATGGGTTATTGTTTGTCGGACGATTGAGCTAAGCTAACTAACGCTAACGTCAGCTGTCACTTGTTGCCATAGGAACGGTAAACATTCACTTACGGGCTAATGGGATGTGGGGGTGCAGAATCAAGCTTCATTGTAAATAGTTAAGATACATTGTAGGCCTATTTAACACAGGACGTGGGATTCTAGTAGGTAGTAAACTTTTAGAAAATAGCTTAATTTGTAATACCATTTAATTTATTGTAATCTTTGGGTTAGGCTATTGTTTTCTATAAAATATAGCCTACTAGTCATAAAAATTGGGACAGTGTACAATTTTTAACATAAAAGATGCCCTGCACCAGAATTAGCTCAAAGCTAATTTGCATCCGCAGTCCCCCACAATCAAAACATACAACAGCACAACAACAAACAATACAAAGCAAAAAACACACAGAAGACACCATATCAAATTCAAAGCTACACACATATACACACATGGGGCGGGAGGCTTATTATATTCTACAGTCATTGTTAGTTCAGTACCGATCAGCTGACGAAAACCCAAATCTGCACATTCTACAGAAAGCTGTGTCCTTACACTCTGTTCTATCAAGAAAAGTGTCGATACTGCTGTGATGGTTAATTTTTCATTCTTCGTTGTGCAGGGAAATACATTTGGTTGTGAATGTGGTTCATAAATGGTGCATAAATTAGCGGGTGAACTCATATTTGCGAGAACATGATTTCAGTTGGAGGTGTGGGAGTGCTGACTATTAAACACCCCCTCCCCAAAAAATGTTTGAGTTTATTAAATACCTGCAGAGATGCAACCGCAGTAGAAACGATACGTGCGTCTCCCCACTGTGCGCATTTACGCACGAGACACAGTAGCCTAACTTCATTAATTAGCCTATCTGGATCTAATGTATCAGGATCTATTGTTAATTAATGTTCTGTGTTCTTCTACACATCCAAAAGGTCACACACAGTTCAGGTTCATACTGTACAGTGAAACTGTTTGGAGTAAAGCAGCGTCCTCCTGATAAATCCTGAGCTCAATCAGAACTGTCTAAATAAATACTTCAGAAGCTAAAAGTTTATTTTCATGTTTCATAATACGGATGGTTGGTTTAAATATCATAGTATAAATGTCCTTTATGAAATTAAGACTGTGTAACGAGTAAGTATACTGTACAGGTCCGGCAGAAAATATAACAGTACTGCTAATTCTCAAACAGTTTCAGTTGGACGCTACATCTCAACTGCTCACATGTGCCACCTGCTGGTTGTTGTTGCGCACTGCAGCTACTCCTGGATCAATTATTTCACCCGCTTCACTGTGGCTGCGGCATTGAAATGAGTCACATCTGTATGTGAAATGGTTAACAAAGGACGACACAGGCTATTTCCACATATGTAATTAATTAGGCTATTAATTCACACTACGCAACTAAATAGTATATCACACATTTTTTGGATAAAATATA